AAATAAATTGATCAAAATGCTTCCAAAATTTTTTCATAGATACTTTGGTTAATTTATTTATTGAAATATATTTTTTTTGATATTTTTATTAGATTTCCTAAAATTTCAAGTGATTTGGATTCTTAAAAATTAAAATTAAATTAAAATTAAAATATGAAATAAGATCGTGACCGTCAAATCGACCCAGATTCAATCTAGGCCGTTAGGCTCATATGTTGATATGAGCTAGTGGGCTAATCTCTGCATTTTGTATATATATACGAAAAAGCTAAAAAATGACTTTAGGCAGAAATGAATAGAGTTTGCCACCGTCATGGACTTGCTATGTCTATGGCAGTTTATTGAACGAAATTGCAATGGACGGCACGTGGTCAATGGCGGTTTCCGTTGATTTTTCGACCGCCATAAGGTTCCAAAAAAAATGGATGGCGATGGTGCTATGGGCGGGATCTTCAATATATATATTTCAATATATATATATATATATAGAGTATTTTGGAGCAAGAGCCGTATTGGATCAACCAAGTTAACCCTAACTTTTGATGCAACAAAAGGTTGTGACTTAAATGTTTCTTGCATATTTCCACTGAAATTTCTTAACTGCCAGGTGAACTGCACCAAGTACCTAAGGATTCCACTTTTCGAGGATATATATTTTTTTAATATTCTTAAGCTTGGTTTGAACTCTAGGCATCATACAATCTTTATTTATTGTTTTCTCTACCCTACAAATTTTGACAATAATATTATAATCTATATGATGGGACCGCATATTGAACAATTTGAAAGGTTTTGAACCCCAATCTATACAGAGAAAGCTTTCTATGTTCTCCCTACAACATAGAAGTTTTGTCCTCCCCCTACCATCTAGCCGGCCATATTTAATCAAGAGAGCCACTCACCGTTTGATCTTAGATCTGACGTTTCAAAATATTTTATTTTTAGTTTTTTTAATATAATTTTTCTGAATATGAAATTTGGTACGTGCCATCTTCTCATTGGGGCACACCTATAAAAAATATTAACATTAATTTTTTGATAAAAAACAATGACCAAAATACTTCTTGAAACTTTCAGGGATATTTTAGTCATTTTATTTTACTGAAAATATATTTTTTATATTTTTCGTTAGTGCGAGTTTAATAGAGGAATGGACGTCCAAAATTTGGTGTCAAAACATTTTATAGAAAACAATTAAAAATAAAGAAGTGTAGAGACATGACATTGTGATTGGGGCAATCTTAGCCCTCCATTCAAAAATGGACGGTTGGATAAGGGGGACGATAGAACTTCTATGTTGTAGGGGGACCATAGAAAGCTTTCCCATCTATATATTGGTATACAATGAGACCCTTAACCTCTGATACATGGAGCTCACAATTACTTATGGCCATTTGATGTGAAATTTGAAAGCTTGGTGTCATAAACATCAAGAAATTTTTTGTTGAACTCTGAGCTTGATCAATAGAATAATTGCAGCTACTGAATTTTAATCCAATGGTCAAGATTAATTGTGACCACCTTGAACTAAAATTAAATGGTCTCATTGTAATCCTTTCCCTAGATATTTTGGTCAATCTCGAGTTAAATGAGGCTGTGGGCTAAGAGCAGTTTTTAGTCTTGGTTAGATCTAGGTAGTCTAGAGCTTTTAGGATTAGGAAAACATTATAGTCACCAGGTCGAGATCAATATTCTATCTAGCTTTTGAAGAATGGATGCACCTCCTGCTTGATTGTTTCCCCATGATAATTTTTTTAGTGCTTTCATAAGACTAAAAGACTACAGTTTGAGTCTTATTTAGTTGTTCCATTAATTTGGTTGTTTTGTAGATTGAATGTATAAAGGGTAGAAGCTATTAAAGATGAATTAATGTCTCTTTCACTAGCACCCAAATTCGCCCACCCTCAATGTTATCACTGTTAGCCACTATTTTGCAGAGAGCAACCATGGTTCTGATGGGGTTTCATTTAGGATAAGAATGAGAAGTTTATATTATTGGGTGAATTTTGTGATTTTTATTTTTTTTTCAAAATATTCCATGTAGTGATGCTCAAATGTGATACAAGGGTTATGGATTATGATAGGGCTGGCAACGAACCGTGCCTCAACCCGGTCAGGTCAACCCTAGCCAGGCCTTGGCCCCAAGCTTGAATTCGGGCCAAAGTGATTAGACTCAAAAGACTTAAAAGTGAAAAATGGGATGGGTGGGGAAGGAGAGGGGTGGAGGGAAGAGCCTAGCTGGGCTAGCTTGTTTGTGACCTCGTCCGAGGTCTGGCCTAAAGGCTCAAGCTTGGCCCTCAGGAATGGCCCAAGGTCTAGTTTTTAAGGATCAGGCAGCGGAGATCGGGCCGAGCCTAAGTCGGATGGGGAACATACCACTTGGATCACTCAAGAGCTTCTTGATGCTGCTTGGATGGCTTCATTTTGAGGTGGTTCTCATCCTCTCTCCATCACAGTTCATCCATTCTTTGAATGGTGAGGACGCATGATACGATTTTGTGATTCCGTGGATCAGAATACGCTTTTCTCCTATTTCACAGCAAGAGACAATGAGCTTTCCCTATTTGACTGTTCTCACTCTATCTACATCACGGTCAATCCATCATCTAGACGGTGATGACTGCAACGAACGTATCTTTTATAGTCATCGATCAAAATAAGCTCTTACTCAATTTCTCTGCTCTCAAGTTTAGAGAGGAGAGAGAGAGAGATTTGAAGTCGGGGAAGTGCAAAATGGTGGTTTTAAGAGAGAAATTAGAGAGAGAAGAGATGAGACGCTGCTGCCCGGAGAGAGAAACCACTGAAATTTATCCGAAAAAGAGAACCCCTAGAATTCGGAGAATCCGCTCACTCTTGCAAAATATAGGTCAAAGTGGTTTCTGATAGAGCATATTTCCGGTTCGGTTTCATGGCTTTGATGGGGAATGATGGTAGGGGTTATGAATTGGCGAAGAAGCTTGACAGTTGTGGGGTTTGGCGTCAATGGCTTGGAAAAACAACTTACGTAAATTTCTTGCCATTTCTGGGTTCCCCATCTTCTTGGGATAGCTTCATGACTACAAACGAGTATAGATCTAGGGCACAGCTCCAGCTTCAACTTAGGGTTCGGGCATTGCTGTATGATAAAGCCAGTGTTTCTCTGTTCCTAAGGTTGGATTCCTCAGCGTTGCCTTCGAAGCTCAACCCTGCATGTAAGCATCGTTTTCCTCTCTCTCTCTCTGAAGTTGTGTATGTTGTTATGATTGTAGCTGGTAGAAGAAACAGAAAACTTGAAAACAATGATTCAGTACACAAACCCAATTTGGGTTCATCTAGAAATTGATGCTTATAAGTTGCTGGAAATTGATCTCTCTCTCTCTCTCTCTCACACACACACACACACACACACACACACACACACACACTCACAGAGGTATGCACATACCACATTTTTTGAAAGAAACAACAATGCATCAATTTGAAGGGAATAATATTAAATATGCCATAATTCTGTACACTATTTCTGAGTGCTTATGCTCAACTTATGTTTATTGGAACATGGTTCTTAGATGCTCTTTGCATTTGGATTTAGTGTTGTGTAATCATTTGTTTGAATAGGGAAGGAGAATGAAATAGGTTTTGAACTTCTATTTGATGATTGAACATGATGGATAACTATTGTTTATTTTTTCTTTTTCTTTTAATTTCCCTGGGAAGTTCTCCATTACTCCATGATTTAGGGTAGAACAATGCGATACTTGTTTAGGTATGAAATTAATCCTACAATGTTTGTTCTAAAGTTGGTTATGTTAGTTGGACAGATAGACTTCATTTGTGTTGTGCTATCTTTCCATCGCATCTGAACAGGGTGGGCTCATAATTCTATAAACCATAAAATCCAGGGTTTCAAAGTCTGTTGGGTGTATAAGGTGGGACTTGTTTAAGTCTGCACTATGTTGATTGGGCTTTCTCTTGTACATGCTGGGGAGGTTAGGTTGGGAGGGTGGCTGAGGCATTATATAATGGAGAATACCCCCATAATTTGTTTATGAAATCCCAATGTGGCCCATGAGGTTTTGGTCAGAGTTGTGGATGATCGCCAACCCTTATCCAATGCAAATTTGAATAACATGAAAGAACTCAAGGAAAATAATGTATTGACTAAAAATTAATGGTAGTTAACAATCTTAGCTTCAATGGCTTTGCGAATTCAATCATCATCCTCATCCAAACCTTATCCCAACTATTTGCAGTCAGCTACACAAACCTTTTTCCGCCACTCCGCTCTATCAAGGGCCATATCCTCATGGAGACCATAAGTCACCATATCTCTTCTCACTACTTTCATCTATGTCGTTCTAGGCTCTCACCTTACCCTTTTAGAGCCTTCTACTTGAACTAAATTTCCTCTCCTAACTGGTTCAGTTCTAGGTTGATGCTGTATATGGCCAGACCACGAAGTCTACTTTCCCGCATCTTATCGCCTATTGGAGCCACCCTTACGTTTCCTCAGATTTATTCATTCTGAATTTTATCCTTTCTTGTCTTGACACTCATCTATTTCAATATTCTCATCTTAGCTACACTCATTCTATGGATAGTCATTGAATGAAATAATACAACCTTGGAAGAAAAGCCTTAATGCAACACTTATTTTATAATAAAATAAATTACTTCGAACCTAAGAAATCCTAATTCTAACTGATTTAGAATTCCTAATCAAAACAATTGTTATAACATTTTTACCCCTTATAAAATACAATTTTTGGATACTGCCCCTCAAATCCTAAAAATTGAAAAGAAAACCTTGAAATTCCTCACAAACATAAAAATCCTAAAAAACACTAAAAATTAACTAAGAGCCAAAAAAATAAAATTTAATAGAAGAAATTAAAAAATAAGGGGCATCTTATCTTCCGCCAAACTCCCTTGGTTGCAGAAAATTTGTCCTCGAGTTTTGAAGTGTTCTATGATGAATGTCCTCGAGTTTTGAAGTGTTCTATGATGAATCTCACATCTAATCCACAATCTTCACCATCATTATCCTTCTCGTCTTGCCTTAAAAGTATACTTGGTAGGGAGAAATTTCCAAGAAATGGATCTTGTATTGAAGAATTGTAACAATGTCAACAAATTCAACTACCCTAGATCTTGCATTGAGAATTATGCATTTGAAACTGGCAAACGCACAAAAACTTTAGGATTGATTTTTCTGGTGCTTAGATGCTTTTTTTGATGAAAACCTAAGAATTCTCGAACTGTGACCTCGATTTTAGAATCGATAACAATGTTCATTGAAGCCAAAGGACTTGAGCCCAATTGAAAATTGTTGTAGATTTCATCTAGAGATAGGGATCTGAAAACCTCTTATCACCCTCAACATCAACAACATTAGGAGCCCGAACCGAACTCGAAAACCTGTCAACCTCATCTTTATTAGACAACCTAGTGACATATGAAACCCTGGACTCCTCAAGCCCCAAATCTCCTTCTCTATCGAAAATAGGATAGCCAACTTCTTCACCTCCATCATCACCATTGCCTGTACTCTTGAAGAAATTAAGATCCTTGTTTGAGCATTTGTTAAAGAATGATAGAATCCCATCAACCTATAATTTCATCGGTTTTGGAAACAACTTGATAAAAATATGGATTTTGTGTAGTTGGTCTTCTCAAGATCACTATCCAAACTATCTTCACAGGCAACAAGATTACCTCTCCCCTAGTTGATTTGGATTAGTTTCACTAATCCTGACCTATCACTACGATGGGATTCAAATATGCTATTATCATGAACAACCGAACATCGATCTTAACAGTTTTGACCATAGTTATCGGAAACTCTCCTCGGACCTCGCAATTCCGGTTCGAAAAGCCATTTTTGTGTTTCTGTTAAGGAAACTCCACAAAAACTTTTTTTGGAACCAACGAAACTCAATTCCTTTATTTCGGAATCTTGATTCTATACATATGTGGAAACGTTTTTTTATATTATATATTAATATATGACCTTTATATATTTTATTGCAGATATGTAGTTCCCATTTATATATTTTATTGCAGATAAGTAGTTCCCATTGTAATGGAGCTTGCGGACTACCTTTACATTCCATGGTCCCTTACTACCATGTAGAGCACCTTGACTGCATACCCTAATGAGAAGAATCCAATATTGTTATTTTATTGCAGATAAGTAGTTCCCATTGGCATCTAAGATATGGACTATGGACTATGGAGTACTAATCGCACTCTATCCAAGGGTGTCCAAACGGCACATGACCTATACTTGGTTTGGGAAGTGGTCATGCTGTATGGTCAACCCCATAGTCCACAGTAACTTCTACTTGATGCGATGTCACCTTAGTGTATGGGACATTATACCATTTGATTGTAATTAGAGTGTCATATTTCCCGTCGGCTATTGTACACACTTTAGGTCTTTAAGGGAGCTAGCGGACTACCTTTACATTCCATGGTCCCTTACTACAGTGTAGAGCACATTGACTGCATACCCTAATGAGAAGAATCCATTATTGTTATATTATTGCAGGTAAGTAGTTCCCATTGGCATCTAAAGTATGGACTATGGAGTACTGACCCCACTCTATTCAAGGGTGTCCAAGGCACATGACTTATACTTGGTTTAGGAAGTCATCATGTTGTATGGTCCACCCCATTGTCCCAGTACCTTCTCTTTGATGCGATTCACCTTGGTGTATGGGACATGATACCAATATAATGTAGTTAGAGTGTCATATTTGTACACATTTTAGGTTTGTAAGGGAGCTAGCAGACTACCTTTACATTCCATGGTCCCTTAGCACCTTGACTACGTACCCTAATGAGAAGAATCCATTATTGTTATTTTATTGCAAATAAGTAGTTCCCATTGGCATCTAAGGTATGGACTATGGAGTACTGACCACACTTTATCCAAGGGTGTCCAAGGCACATGACCCATATTTGGTTTAAGAAGTCGTCATGCTGTATGGTCCACCCCATAGTCCACAGTACCTTCTTTTTGATGCAATGTCACCCTGGTGTATGGGACATGATATCAGTAGACTGTAATTAGTGTGTCATATTCCCATTGTCTATTGTACACACTTTAGGTCGGTAAGGGAGCTAGCAGACTACCTTTATATAATAATATAATTATTATTTATAAATATATATTATAAATAATAATTATATTATATATAAGATATTTATATAGTATATTATTATATAATACAAATAATATAAATATTTATTATATATAATATAATATTTATATAATAAATATATACGATATATAATATTTAATATAATATTTAATATAATATTTAATATAATATAAGTATATAATATAAAAATATAAATATTTTGTATGATGTTTATTTAAAATGTGTACGTGAATTTGTAAAGAACTTGTAGGGCCCAACATGGTTAACCTTAACATTTGAATATTAAATAGAAACTAGCATGGGATAGAGATACCATCTAACTTCCCATTTTATAAAAACAAAAAAAAACCATAGGGCGGGAGAGAGAGACACCTGTAATGGAATTTTGTGAATTAAAGTACTAGGGTAGGGAAATGAGCACGTGAAGTACATTCTCACATACAATGATGGTACTAAGGCACCACGTCACTATGAACTTATGATGCCTCCTCATTTTCACAACCTTTTCTCCTCATTCTCATAACTTAAAAGGTTGAAGCCTAAAAATGGCAAGCTCCAGTATGGTTAATGGATTACTATTAATAGTCCGTTGTCACTCTCAACGTAGGGACTATTCATGCCATCAAAAAATTCGATGGCATAGAAACACGTCATCATGAGCATTTAACTCATTAAATGCTCAATATTTCCCCACCTTTAGAAGCTTATTGGGTTGACATTGAACATATAAAACCCAAGCTTTATGAATTATTATCATTGGTTCACCACTCGCCGTAGGGACTACAATTTTAGGTGGACCCGGTGACCATCAGCAAACTCAGTGGTACAACAACACGTCACCCTCGAGTTGGTTATTATTATGGTATATTATCGAATTTGTTATTATTAACTATGGGTTATGGGTTATTATCAACGGTTCATTTAGGATTACTATTTTGGGTGGTACGACAACACAATAAATGCTCATCATTATCCCACTTTTCAAAAGTGTGAAAGTGTGAATTAGGTTATTGGATTGAAGAACTAAGCTCGAGTTTAGTTGTTAT